ATGAAAGGGAACGTCTCAGGTTACTTATGTAACCATGGTTCCCTGAGTAGGGAACGAGACACTGCGTCCTCTAGGTTTCTTGCCATGCTGTGGATGCAAGCTTCAGATGAAGAAGTGAATAATGTGTGCTCCCAGCGCCTATTTATACTATAGTCGCACCGGTGGTGTTTTTTCAATGTATGCTTCAGACACGGGTCACGGCGAGGCGTTCCCCATAGCGACCCCTAGAGGACGCAGTGTCTCGTTCCCTACTCAGGGAACCATGGTTACATAAGTAACCTGAGACGTTTTTGTAAAAATTTTGAATTGGTTTATTTTTATATTTTTCTGTTTTGACTTTAATTTCAGTGAGAGTTTTAGAAATGTTGCTTTTATTATTAGTTTTAATTTTTTTATTCTTTATTGGTTTTAGTTTATTTAGTTTTACTTCAGTATTTCTATGGAAGCTTGCTTTAAATAAATGAATGAATAAATGATACATATATAAATGACTTATCGCACAACTCTTTTTTTCTCTCGCAATTTGCAATTTCTCAGAATTGTGAGATATAAATTCAGAATTGTGAGATATAAACTCGGAATTGTGAGATATAAACTCGGAATTGAGATATAAACTCAGAATTATGAGATATAAATTCAGAATTATGAGATATAAAGCCATAATTGTGAGATATAAATTCAGAATGGTGTGATATAAAGTCAGAATTGTGAGATATAAAGTCAGAATTGTGAGATATAAAGTCAGAATTGAGATATAAACTCAGAATTGTGAGATATAAATTCAGAATTATGAGATATAAACTCAGAATTATGAGATAAAAATTCAGAATTATGAGATATAAAGTCAGAATTGTGAGATATAAAGTCAGAATTGTGAGATATAAACTCAGAATTGAGATATAAACTCAGAATTGTGAGATATAAACATGGGATTCTGACATAAACTCAGAATTATATAAACTCAGAATTATGAGATATAAACATAGAATAATGAGATATAAACTCATGAAATAAATTCAGAATTGTGAGACATAAACTCAGAATTATATAAACTCAGAATTATGAGATATAAACATAGAATAATGAGATATAAACTCATGAAATAAACTCAGAATTGTGAGATATAAACATGGGATTCAGACATAAACACAGAATTATGAGAAACTCTGAATTATGAGATATAAACTCAGTTATGATATGAACTCAGAATTGCAAGTAAAAATTAGAATTCTGAGTTTTCTAAGGATTCTGAAAAAATGAACAGAAAAAAGGTCTGAATTGTGAGACAAAAAGTTTCAATTACCTTTTTTATTTTTATGTTTTATCCCGTGGTGAAACGGGCTTTCATAGAACTCCAACTGAGAAATGAGAAATATTTCCTTGGCAAGTTGCTGAAATAAAATTTTATTTTTTTATACTTATATTTTATTTCAATATTTCAATTAAAGTTTATTTTATTTCAAGTCAAGGAAAGGGTTTTAGTTTTAGATAACGATAATAACCCTGAATTGTAAAAACTGATTTTTTTTCCCTGGGAGCATATCTTTCTAGATGTGGAGAAACCATAAACCAGGGATCCTCAAATCTGGCCCACAAGATCCACTTTCCTGCAGAGTTTAGCTCTAACCCTAATCAAACACACCTGAGCATGCTAATCAATGTCTTCGGGATCATTAGAAAATCACAGGTAGGTGACTTTGATCAGGATTGGAGCTAAACTCTGCAGTGCATTGGCCCTCCAGGGCCAGATTTGAGGAACCCTGCCATAGACTGTATAAAAACATGGACGTAGTGTCCGTGACGTCACCCGTAGGTTTCCGAAGAGCGTTTTTGAAGCCTAAAGTAGGCGGAGCCGGCCATCGGTAGCATGGCAGCGAGTCACCGCTCGTCACTCCCGGATAATCGAACATGGGCAAAGAGGCGGGAGCTGGTTGGTGAAACCACGCCCACCTAGTTCGATGCCAGTGACCGCAGCGGCAATCCTCCTGTCACTCAAGTGGCCACGCCCTTAATTATGCAGAACTTTAAGGCTTAATATAACTTAAACGGATGAGTTGTTCACCCCCCTCACAGTTGTCATGAAGGGCAAAATTAGCTATATAGACCAAAATAATTTTTTGAACCAGGCTGTAAACATGTTTTTTTCTGCTGTAAAGTTGGGCATTTTAACATGCGGAGTCTATGGGACTGACTCCCTTTTGCAGCCCGCCTCTAGCGGCCAGTTGATGAATTACAGTTTAAGTCACTTCCGTGTTGGCTTCACGAGAGAGAGCGGGAGGTTGCCGCTTGGAAGAAACTTTCCTTTTGCATGTAAAACTTCAACTAAATGGGCAGACAGTCTCACAGCTCTTTTAGCACGTATAAGACTCATGAGGGAGTCCTTATAAACTTTCCCCGAGTCAGAATAAGGGAACTGGACAGCAGCCACTGCATGTCAGGAGCTTCCAGCTTTTAAAATAAGCATCCATGTGTGAAAAGACTCCTCAGAGACAAATGCCTGAGCAGATAAAAGCTCACAGACACTGATCGGGTCAGAGCCGAGCTCTACCTGCTGCTCATTCCCCCTTCATACAACTTCATTTCAGCCCACAGCTGAGTTCACACTGGAACAGCAACGCCAGAGACACACATTTACTGCGTAGGAGATTGACGTGTGACTGACAGCACATGAGGAAATACTAAAACAAAACCAGCTTTTAACAGGATCATTTGTTGCATTTCTAAAGCATAACACCCAACAACACACCACTGTGTGCTCAACAGGAATCAAGTGTGAACAATGCTGGTCAAAATCTAGTGTCTCAACAAAATGATGCATTTTTAATAGGTTAACAGCATTCACACTGCAAAAGTTTCAGCGCTGAACCAATTGTTGTGTGTCACACGATTATACATTGAAAACTCTTTTTATTACTTTCTATTGAAAGGAAATTAATAATATTAATAATAATTTATAATATATATATATATACAATATATAAATCTCTGCACCAATGTATCGGCCAATAAATGCATCGGTTTTCTCTTCACAAAACATTATTTGTAATGCGCATATAAATAGCATTGACTATAATAGTTTTGTTGTTAATATTAGCCTCTAATATAGAATAGTTTACGGCATTAGTTGCGAGACATTTTTTTTTTCTTGAGAAACCTAAACTATCGGCATCGACAATTTTGTATCAGTCCATCCCTTATATATATATCTCAACATAAAACCATGCAAAATCTATTTATCAACATGATCTTTTAATATTTATTATAAAAAAGACATAAAATAAGCAACATAAAATAATGGTGCACATTGCACAGTGTTTGGAAATAGATATCTGGCTTGATGGAAACACAAACACTTTCTATTCAGAACATCTGACTGAGTCTATATTATAGCTACACTTTGGTTTGATTATATTCAAAAATCTAAAATCCCTCACAATTAAGTTTATGGCTGGTATTAAAGAAAATGCTCAATGTAGTAACCCAGAAATT